TCGCGTGCAAGAATCTCTCGATGGCGCTCGTCCAGAAGGCTGTGGCGGAGTGTCCGGTCAACCACACTTGTTGGGGCGGGCAACTCATCAACCAGATCCCGCCAGACATCACTGCGAGCCCCCCCTCGACGGCCACGCCCACTTGTCAGCACGGACATAGATTCTCAAATCTTGTTTCATAACTTCTGCTTTTGCTGTTTCCCACAAACACTTCAACTGGAATTCACACATGGCCGACTTCGCCCATTCTCTAAAGGGTCTAGGCTGACCACGCCCACCTGCTTTTTGCGGAATTTTGATAATTTTTTTATATTTTTGCATTTTTTAGCTGCCCCGTGAACCGCGCCCACTGTGAGAGGCTCCGCCCACTTTGAAGAAGCCCCGCCCACTTTTCAAAATTGGTGCAGATCGGCAGTATAGAGCCTTGGCTTGCATGCTAGGGTATTGCTGATCATTGGGAATAAACTTTGACGGATTTTCTTGTTCCGAGTGACGTACGAGACCCCAACATGCAAGCCAAGTCTCTATACTGCCGATCTGCACCATTTTTGAAAGGTGGGCGATGCTTCAAAGTGGGCAGAGCCACTTTCCATGTAAAAATTTGCGTGAGAAAAAACGTCATTACTCATCGGCCAACACAGTAGATAGTCGGAGGTGAAGCAGTGGCAATGGCTCGCTCACTACGCTCGCGGCTCAGGTTTAAATCCCAGATCGTTTCCGGCCAAGGCCAATCAAGCCTTCTATAGTGGCAGCCGGTAAATTAGTAGCATAATCGTCCGAAAGGATGAAGAAGTGATTCGTTATCAGGTGAACCCCAACAACACATTGTATGAGCCTTAACACAACTTTGAATAGATGTGAAACTTATGCAGCAACCCAAAATGAGACTAATTCAGTGAGGCAATGGCACGATTTCTTTGGGAATATTCCGATCGTGAAGTAGGTGGTGACGTCGTTCCTCCAATTGGTGTCATTGGGACCTGCCCGGTTCTGCGGGCTGAGCAGAACACGGACAAACGCAAACGTAGGCGACAGACCTTCGTGACGGGCCGGCTTACCAACACCCCATTTCACATCATTATGTCTAACTATGCCTTATGAAATTCGAAATAATGTTACGGCGTCCGCGAGAGCCGACGCGCACCGCAAGGCTCGACGAATGTGAAAAGTATGCGAGGGTCCTCGTTGCAAGGACGGCATCGAGGGGCAACCAGGCTAGTCCGAGTTGCGTGCAATGTTATTGCCACGCTGAATGTGGGGACGCTGACTGGACGCTCGTACGAGTTAGCAGAAGCCCTAGAGCGTAGAAAGATCGACCTCTGTGCAAGAGACGAGATGGGCTGGCTGCAAGTCGAAAGAGTTAGGCCGCGGCTTCAAAGCCGTTCTTTGTGGCGGGCCGAAAACTAAAAGTGGTGTGGCCGTGATCGTGTCTCAGCGTTTTCGCAATTCGATTATGAGTGCAGTTCGTTTCAACGACCGTTTAATGAAGATTGTTGTCGCTATTGAACAACGACTGTACCCCTTCTCCTCTGCATATGCCCCACAAACTGGATGCTCTGAGCAGTCAGGAAACGAGTTCTGGGCTCTGCTGGACACGTGGGCGCTGCAAGACGGCTATAGTTGTTATGGCGTATACGGCTATGGTTCACGGAACGCCGATGGTGAGCGAGTCCTTTAGTATGCAGGGTCGCATAATCTCGTCATTCTGAACACAAAGTTTCGTAAACGTGACTCCCACCTCACGGAAGTAACAAGACACAACTAGACTTTGTACTGCGACCAGGGGCTCGTGACAGACGCTAAGGTAGTATGAAACGGTAGCCCACACAGCACCGCCCACTGATCTGCGCACTCAGACTTGTAGCTCCCAGACCGAGGTGGGCAGAACGATGCGGTCCTGAAAGAATAAAGTGGTGGCGACTGAAAGAGCGGGAGGCAGCTGTGATTTCTCGTATTCGACTACCTGAAGTCACAACTGTTCAGTAGACCTGGAACGAGGCGTTAATTCTATAACCCAGGCCGCCCGCTCCGAACTCGGCACAACGAAGCCTGGACGGCGGAGGATTGACAAGAGGCATGGCTCTGGACAGACGACGTCAAAGCGAAGGTCCGAGAAAAGAAAGGCTCTATCACACGTTCCTCGAGCACAAGTCGGCTGACAACTGGCCGCAATATCGGGAAGCGAGGAATGCGGCAAAGACGACCGTGGCTGCTGTTAAAGGCAGAACCCGCGATTATTCACCATCTCAGATGGTGCATTAGGGGGTTCCATATAGACGACAATTGGTTGAATAACTCGACTGTAAACAAAAAAAAGCACAAAAAACATGCCAGCTGCCCTAGATAGAACCCCATTTCGATCCCAGTTTGTACGTGCCCAATCAATTCTATTAGGTTGTCCGGAAAGGAATGCGCGTTCGAGCTTAAAAAATTTTTTATTATAAAAACGAAATTAAATAAGATAAATTCAAAAGACAATCTCCATTAGTATCAATGACTTGTTGTCAACTTTTATGCAAAAAAATGGATTCCTCTTCTGAAGAACTCGACCGGCTGCGACTCAAAGAAGTTGTACACCCAGACTTGGACCTTTTTCGCGGTTTGTGAATTTTCTCTCGGCCAGGGAGTTCTGCATCGACCGGAACAGATGGTAATCGATGCACAATTTTCCATGATTAGGCCAGTTTTCCACCATATCTTTCTTCAAAAGACAACAAGTTATTTTTGAGTAATAACTTGCCTCCACTAGCGGTGATACACATAGAACTAGTGATCCACAAAAAACCTTGTCGAACTTCAGCATACTGGTTTGCACCGTGGACCACGTATTCTGCGACTGTAGTGAGTAACATATGCTAGAATCCTATATATAATCACTGTCTGTGCGTGTGTGTGTTGTGTGCGCCCGTCTGTTTGTTACGGAGTTCATGGCGCCGGTCGCAGTAACAGTGAGACAGTGATTTCAAGAAGTTTTAGAGGTGTCACGAGAACACTATTCTTGGGTGACAGAAATTGATATCAATTGATAAGGTCCGATAAGAGACGTTAGGAGATGAAGGTCACCACATTCATAGCGCGGGTGATAACATCGGCTAGCTCCTGATTCCAAGCTATGATATAGGGTACGGGCTAAGAACAATATGGGTAGGTGACAAGAAGTGCGCTGCTGGTAAGATTCGATAACGGGCGTCAGTATAGTAAGGTCACGTAATCACAGCGCATGTCACACCACCAACGAGGCTTTTGCATCACCAAATTACAAAGATTTACTGATAAGGACATTGAATGAAGGGTGACAGGTAATCATATCAATCGATAAGGATAATAAAATTCCAGCTGCGCTACATCTTTATCACTTCACACCACTGTAATACCTAGTGTTAGAGGCTCAGTGAACTCTCTCCAGTGTCAACAGAATCAAGGTCGTTCATAATATACTTGCTTTTGGATGCAAAGCGTGTGGGGGTGGTATCTTGTGCATGAAAGGGGGAAATCGAGAAATTCAACAGTCGCAAAAATTCTCGGAAATCTGCCTGTTACTTGATTGCATTATGTGCAATAATGTGTTAAATGGTTGAGGTCGCAATGGAAGCAAAACAAGGAGGAACCAACGATTTGGGGTGGGTATGTCCTGTCGGTGGTAACGTTCGAGCTCCCCGTGCGACGCACACAAGACATGTACAAGGCGACATGAAGTTCTCCTTTTTAGTGTCATGTCTCTGCAGCTGTGCCTCTTCCGGGGTAAAAGTCGTGTGTGTTACACTGCCTTCCGGACTAATTCAACTCCAAAATAACTGTCACCATTTGGCTCATTTTGCGCATTCTACCTTACCCAAGGGAAGATGCCTGGCGAAGCCAGGTGGCCCGGCAAAGCTGGGCCTGACACAGAAAGAGGAGCTCCTGGCGTCAGCTGGGCGATCCGACTGGGGAATATTCAAAACCAAGCAAGAAAAATCGTGCATTTGTGAGGGGCACTGGATTCGCGTAGACCCACGTGGTCCCATGTGGCCTGGTAAGCGCCTTCAACGATGAAGCAGGTCTCCAACGTCAGGAAGGTTTCACGTTCTCTGCAGTGTGCTTGCGGCTTTGCCGTACACTATGCGTTGTCTAAATGCTGTCATCCGTGTCATCGCCATCTGTTCCGATCCACTGCATCTCCTGCTGTAGCAATCACTTCAGTGACTTTCTTGATGACGTCCCTCCATCCTATCTTTGGGGCTCCTCGTGGTCACTTGCCCTCTGCTTCCAATGCCCTCTTTATTGGTTGGTCTTCAGACCTCCTCAGTACGTGCTCATACCATCGCAGTCGCTGCTCCGGTGCCTTTAGCTGGATCGGAGCCGTCTGTGTGACGGCCCTTACGTCCTTATTTGTCACTCTGTCTAGTTGTGTCCAACTACAGGCATCTCAGAATCCTCATTTCAGCTGAGCAGACTACCACTACCATGGTTCTTGCACATCTGCCAGCGCTCGCTGCCTTAAAGCATTGCAGGCCTAGCCACTGCCAAGAACACCTTCCCCTCAAATGTTCTCGAGCACCACCGGTCGCAAAGAATGCTGGTACTCGCTCCATTTCATCCAAGCTGCGTTGATTCGAGCTTTTACCGCCTGCTTCACGTTGCCACCAGCTGCTAGACTCCTCCCCTCCCGCCAAGCCATTATTGACAGCTGCACATAGGACCCTATCCCTACTGCTAGGGAAGGCACGATCCCCACGTCACGGACTGGCGACCTACGCTTGGCCTAGTTCCTCATTCTTGAGCGGGTGTGGTGTCGCCACTGCATCTTTCACGTTCCGATGATGTTCTCAGTGCATCGCTGCTGTCGAACTACTTATAGGGTTGAGGAACGGAAATTATCACTATCTATATTGCAAAATTGATGGTTATGCTAGCTAAATATACCTGAGGATCATATGCAGAACAAATTTTTAAGCCCAGTTGCCTGCAACTCGGGTTATTCCTTTGTGAATTCGTTACAAATGAAGTTCGAGTGTTTTGAAATGTTGCTTTTGAAAAGTGTTTTCTTTCAGCCACAACATAATATGGTTCCACATTGTATTGTAGTTTTGCCGAACAGTAATGGCATGCAGTTGCTGCTCTGCTATGACAGTAAGTCTATGTAGCCCGTGCATTCGCGCAGTAGTGGTGTCACTTCTATTCATGTTCTTCGTTCCGTTCCACTTCGTTCATCGAGATGTTGAATCTTATTTTGGCTGCCAAAAAAACGAACACTTCTTGTACGGTGTGAGCAGGATACAGCATCATTGTGCGAAACCCATAAGGGGGGGGGGAGGGTCGTACCTAGCCGCTGGGGAGGGGGAGGTTTCGTAAACGCAGGGTCGGTGAGCACCAAACAGCAGAAAAGTGTTATCGCTGAATGTGATGGTGCGGACGGAAAGTTGCAGAGGACTCGAATGTAAGGAAGACTGCAAAATATCAAAAGAATTGATTAGCAATATCAATAGTTAGCATGAACTCGTTAGTACGTAGAAGACCAAATAATACATTTCGAACAGATTCGTCAGGCCTTTCCAAATTCTAAACAAACATCTGCTTGCATGGCCAGAAACCACCTAAAATTAGAAAATACTCCTTTCCACCACAACAGCGTAGAAGCGTAATGCACGGCGCACACTCGGACCAAATCGACCGATGATAGCCAAACTGCTTTGGCTCATTTCAACGGGAATATGTGTTTTGATGGCATGTTGAAGTGTACAAATGGGTATCCTTACAATTGCACAGAAGGGGTCGAGCGTTTGTGCGGCTAAGAGCCTCGCGCGAAGATGACTCATCTAAAATATCTTCTAAACTAGCTGGTGTTCAGGAAAACTGTGAAGCTTGTTGGAGAGAGGAAATATTGGGCTTGCTGATGCCGCTTTTGATTTTGCAAAAGACTACGAATGAAAGAAGTTATTCTCGTCTGAAGCATAAAAGACCGCTTGCGATTTACCCCTAACACGTCCGTAACCCATCCAAAATATTTCACGAACGGAGGAGTTAGTAGAAACGAGACATTTCCGTTTCTAGTAGAAACGAGACATTTCCGTTTCTCAAAAGCCTCACACTTGAAAAAGCTATCACCACCGGAGAAAGCCCCACGAGTTCCACCCGTCCGGCAGATCTGCTCCACCGCTAATTTGCCATGGAACCATAACGCCGGCGCTTGCGAGTCATTACGCATCTAATCCTTCTGGTTAGAGCAAGCAATTAGAGCCGGAAGGGGAAGGGTCGTACTGAAACCGTCATTTGACACATCACGATGCTCTACCCTGAGTGTGGACACTCATTTTTGTGACGCCACGTTTTTTTTTGTTTCAGTGAGCGGGTCGATGTTAAATTTTGCGGGTACGCATTCTGTGTTGATGTCACTAACAGCAAATGTGCACTTACAGATGAAGGCGTGTATGTAAATACTTATGGGAAAATGTCAAAGAATGTAGTGCTACAGTGGGGCGAAATGCCTAGTAGCGTTGGTAAGTATCCAGTAACGTTTATGCTCGTACTTATATATTTCCCCTAACTGTTCATAACTTTCAATTCGCTTTAGCTTATATATCGACTGGACAACTTATGGGATGGGGAAACAAGGCTATCGAAATCCGTTCTGTTGACACGGGTCACTTGGACGGTGTCTTCATGCATAAGAAAGCCCAGAAACTGAAGTTCCTTTGTGAGCGCAATGACAAGGTGCGGTGGGTTTGTACAGAAGAAATCTGATGATGGCTCTGTAGTTAATGGTCTCATCTCCTAAGGCGCTGCTTAATGATCTTTGCTTGTAACAAGTCGAATGCCGAGCGAACGTTGCCGGACGGTAGGCGGTCGCAGCGTCTCTCGCATTGGAACACGTCGTTCAGCTTTGTGGCAGAGTGATTCTTCACCATATAAAATTCTCGATTCAAGTTCATGCCAGCAAATAGTGATGCTAGTGAACATTTTTGCAGGCGTCTGTGTGCTCGTTGCTTATTTCTTTTTCTTTACGATATTTCAGTTAAATAGCAGGTCGTATCAACGTCAGTCCTTTCAGTGATACTCTAGAGCCTAGGTGACAGAACAGAGGGTCGTCTCCGCTGCTGATTAACACATTGACGACAGCGTGATACACATTTAATGCGCGCGTTGTGGGCCACGTGGGACCGCGCAAATCTATCTGTATCACGACGAACAAATCCATATCTTTCCCTAGTGTTAGAGTTTCTCCTATTCATTCTATAGGTCAGTCCTGTATACTTGTACAACACGTCGTCCATGGAATAATGTAGAACACACAAGTTTAGCAACGATTTCCTTTGGAAAGAGCACTATAACCTTGAGTTGGTTCGCTCCTTAACTTTGCATTGGTTTGCTGTTTAACTCTTTGCCAGTAAATATAGACAATCACAACATTGATAAGTATGAAAAAAATATAAGATGACGTATTCTGAATCATATAGAAAGCACGATTTGCGTTTTTTATCAAAAAAATTGGTTACAGACAAATTCCTGGCCCTGGTGCAAAGAGAGTTAGCCAGCCCAGATTTTTCCATGGCAGATAATTGACTTACCTCTCAATTGTTCTCTAAACCAGGTTTCACGATCCAATCTCCAAAAAAGCGCCTTGTGAGGCGGTCTGAACTGTGTGAGTACCGCGCTTGTGGCGTTCAAGAAAGCGCGCGTGTCCCACGCGGCCAAAAGTAAAAACGCGCATTGTCGTCAAAGTGTCAAGTATTTTATGCAACATCTGGAAAATATTTCATGTCACGCGACATGCATGTTTTCAAAAAAATCGAGAGCAGTAAATTCTGAATTGATACGTTATAGATAACATTTCTCGGAAGACTTCGTCCAACTTTCTTGGGCTTAAGAAAGTTGGAAAATTCCCTCGGAAAAGTTACACTTTTTTTCTCAACACTTAGCGTTTGAGGGGACTTAATTTAGAGCCACGAAATGGGGTTGCAACACACATCTGAACTTGTATCGGGTGCCACTTGGAAAACACCTACTACAAGACACCTATTCTGTTAGACTTATGCATTCTAAATGCGGGGATTGGCGTAGTGACAAGTGGCGCGCTCAACACTCACGCAGTCCTGTGTTCAAGTCCCGGATCGGCTCCCGCCTATGCCAGCAAGCCTTCTACCCTCCGGGAACGGTAAATTGGTACCAGATTCATCTGGGAGGATAAGAACACTGAACTGTACATCGGCTGGCCCCGCAATTCATTATATAGGCCTTATCGCCTTCAATAAGCCATCACGATTTTTAATGGAAGTGGAATGCTGCTGCATGCCACAAAGGGATTGATCAACGACGAAGACTGTTCTTTTTCTATGGGCCCATTACGCTGCCTTCTTACTTTGCTGCAGCATCCTCTAGCGTTTCAGGGGCCTGGGAAATATATGTCTAGCGTCTACTAGCGTCTGCTAGCGTACACCAGCGTCCGGGAGAGGGGAGTGTGGCGCGACAGGAAGGTATGAGCTGGTACCCCCTTATCGCGCCATACTCTCTATCAGCAGTCTGCTACCCTCCTAACGCGCCATACTCTCCTCCCGCGGACGCTGGTAGACGCTAGTGCACGCTGGCTCACGCTGGTAGACGCTAGATCGATACCTTTACTTCCTAGGTCCTCTAGACGCTGGTGGACACAGGGGGACACTGGCGAACGCTGGGAGACGCTGGTAGACAACGGCAAACGCTAAATCGATATCTATACTTTTCCAGTCGCTCACGCTGCCTTTTTAGGGAGTTCCCTGTCATCGCATGCATCCCAAAGATCTATTCAGTCGTTGCCTATATCTTCAGCTTTCGAAGTAGAATGCCGAATTTCATCTTCACGCGCCCTTCCTTTCTCTGAAATACTTATCAAACCCAGTCGAGTTGCATGGATGAGTATGTCACAAAAAACTACAGCTCATCGAAGAATCCTATTAGAGGAGGTCGTTCAGGGCATGGTGCGCTTTTTGAAACGCGCTCTTTGCAGATGTAGGGGCTCAAAGACCTGAAAAGTGGGCTTCATTTTTGCTGCGCGCTCACAGGAAGAACAGAAGGGAAAATCGTTGTGAGCCCCTTTTTTGAGACACCTTGTGCTGTAAATCGATTGCGACTTTGTTACGCTGTTCCTTCTTGGACTTCTGTCGAGGTTGAAAATAACCCTTATTAAGCGGCTAACCTTTCGGTGAGTGCACCTTCTTCGGAGCCTGAAATAATGGAAATCGCATAGTGAAGCGACCAAATGTCACACCACCTCACAGAGGCCTTCGACCCCATCCTAATCATCACGTAACAATAGAGACAAAGTTACTGTACCTCACCAGGTCAACTAGATCCGCTTCGACTAGCAGAGCAAAGAAAGCTTTCGAACCCATCGCATTCAGGGTCCCGATGGGACGCTAGTCTTGGATACGGGGTCAATTCCTGCGTAATTGATAGACACTCTCCCCTACGGTTTATTTTTGGATCTCTGATCTGAGTGGAGGGTTCTTACCTAGGGACTGTTGAAATCAAGAGGAATGTGGGCGCAAACGGGGTCTTACTTGTGTCAGGGGCTGAAAAGTGAGCGATGATTACTTCAACAATAGGAGATGCACGTTTCCACAGCGGGCTTAGTGGTTAGCATGGAGGATTCTCGATGGTACGGTGCGGACGGGGTTGTTTGTTCAGTTTCCACTGACCTCGAGTTTTTGGATTTTTGCAGGTTCCACTGTCCTTCCATGCATATATGTCTGTGCATGAATCTGGCAGAGATAGCTGTCATTTATAGACACATGCTAACCCTACTATATATAATCGGCTATGTCCGTGTGTGTGTGTGTGGTGTGCGTATGTGTGTTTGTCACGAAATTCATAGCACCTGAAGAAGAACTTGAAAAGGTCGGTTCATGGTGGGGATGGGTAGAGCATGGGACAAAACCTAATAGCACCCATGACCCATGGTATGCCCCGCTCATAGTAGGCGGAGGCGCGCGTCGAAAGTTAGCGATGTCACTGAAAAAGTCATAACTCGGTTCCAGAGCAGTCCCCAGATGAGGGAACAGTGCAGTGAAGTTAACAAAGGAGTGACCGACCAAATAGAGGAGACACACCCGAGATGGGTGCGACGTACTTGAGATGGGCGGCGCTTCCCGTATCTTCTAAAAAAGCTACAAGTTAGCTACAAAGCAGCCCGGAGACGGGAAAAAGTGGGATGAGGTTAGCATTGGGTTGGCAGAGCAATCCGAAATGGGTGGGGTGTACGAGATGGGCGTGCTCCCCACAAAGGTCGGTAACTCGGGTCCCGAAATAAATCAGAGATCGCAGAAAAGTCAATGACGAAGATAAACATCTGGCAAGAGTCCACCATGTATGTGGCGTGCTGAGGCCCGCCCACAGTGCGTTCATTTGAACACAAGGTACCAGTGTGAAAAATCATAGTTTGGTCCTAAAGCACTACAGAGGGCGCAGAAAAGTGGATTATGGTCCCCAAGTGATCACATGTTGGAATGTGCGAGGCACTCCCATTGTGGGCGGAGCGTGTCCCGAGGTGGGTGGAGTCAAGTTTGAAGAATTCGTAAAACGCTTCCAGAGTACTTCAGACACCGGAGCAAAGTGGTTCAAAATCAGCGAGTGGTCATCGGTTCACAAGTGCGAGGCACACCTACTGTGGGCAGAGCGTGCGGCGAGGTGGGCGGAGCAAATTTTAAAAAAACGGTTTCAAAGCACTCCATACAGCGGGAAAAAGTAAATGGAGATCACTGAGGGGTCACCGGTTCACAAGTGTGAGGCACAACCGTTGTGAGCGGAGCGAGATGGGCGGAGCCAGTCCTAAAAGTTCCTAAAACATTTTCTGAAAGCTCCAGACACCGGGAAAATGCAAGTCGTCGAGGGGTTACCGGTTCACAAGTGTGAGGCATACTCGTGGTGGGTGGAACGTGCGTCGAGGTGTGCGGGGCCGGTCTTAACAATCCTTGAAGCGGTTCCAGAACACTCCAGGCCTCTGTGATACAGCCCGGCCTTGCGGGGCGTAGCTCCATCGCGTCTACCTGGATTCGTATGATCAAATGCTCGACCAATACCCGGCTTTTCTAACAACTGTTCACTTGATCAACGCTCCTTACCACCACTCCATGCACCGTAATAGTGTTGAAAATAGCAGGTATGATGTGGAATATGAACATGCTATTGGTCAAAGAATAAAAGTTCATATAAAAAAAAGCAGGATACCAGGTGGTTATTGAAACGTGTGGAAGAAGGTAAGCGCAGCGGAGCCGCGCTCAGCAAAGCCGTGCTGTATCTCAAAAGGGGGCGCGCCGGCGTCAGCCAGCGAAGCCGGCTGCCTAGTATTAACCTTTCTTCTTCTTTTCTCCTTCTTCTTCAGCGTTTGCCCGCTCGATCGCGGGGTCCGCTCTTTTGATACAACTGCGCCACTTTTCCCGATTGGATGCCTGATCGGGGTGAATGCCGGCTATTTTCAAGTCGGTGTGCAACATGTCGGGCCAGCGCTGTTTGGGGCGCCCCTTTGGCCGCTTTCCTGGCACCTCGAATTCGAGAGCAGTTTTACGGACGGTGTCAGCTTCAGTGCGAAGCACGTGCTCGTACCATCGAAGACGCGTTTCACGCATTTTCTCCGCTATGGGGGCTACGCCATACTTCTTGCGCACGACATCATTACAGATGCGGTCCGATCGCGTAACGCCCGCCGTCCAGCGCAGCATCTTCATCTCCATCGCACCAAGGCGACCCTCAACTTCTTTGGTCGCGGGCCA